GGCTGCCGCCGCCTCTCCCGGGGGAGGCGGGCCGCTGGCCCGGCCCGGTGCATAGCAGCCGGTCGCCATGGCCACCCCGCCCCTAGAAGCTTCTCAGCGCCGGCGCGGGGCCTTGTGGGATGAGGTAATGCTGGCGGCGGCCCGGGGCATTGTGGGCTGACGTATTGTTTTTGAATATCTGGTTACCGCGTCCCGAGCTCGAGCCGGGTTGGCCGCCGCCGGCGCCTCCTTACCGGCCGCGTACCGCCCGCCCGCCGCCGCGCCGGGGTGCAGCGCTGCCGCCCCGCGCCGCGTCCCCCGCCCGTGCGTCGCTTTGCATCGCGTCGCGTTACACCGCACGGCGGTGCGTCGCGTTGCCGCGCGGTTCCGAGGTGCGACGCGCGGCGGGGGCGCGCCGCGCTCCTCCGTTCGACGGCGCGGTTCGGCCCGCCGCCCCCGCCCCGCGGTGGTACGGCCCTGAAGGTGGCGCTCCGGGGAGCCTCACGTGATTTCCCCGCCTCGCCGCCGCCGCCGCTTCCAGGCAGGGCCGGGGGGAGTTGCGGCGCTCCGGGGCGGGAGCGCAGCGCTGTGGGGCCGCCCCCGCACCGCAGAGGGGCCCAGCGCCGGGCGGGCGTGCCCGGGGTGGCGGCGGCGGCGGCTCGGCCTCGCCTCCTTCCGTCCCGGGGAGCCCCGGCGGGCGGGGAGGGGCGGCCCGGTTCCCTTCAGCCCCGGCTTCCCCCAGCCGCCGCGGTGAGCGGTGCGTCCGTTCCCACGATCGGGAGCTCCCCGGAGTAATAGAGGGGACAAAGCTGACGGGAAGGAGCCGGGTTCGGGATGGGTTTCCCTAAAGTCGTCTTTTAAACTCGGGACGGCTTCCCGGTTGTAGAGCGCTGTGCTGCTGTTAGTGCGTGAGCGCAGCTTGGCGTTAGGGGGAGCGGCGGGAGATGGAGGGATCCGCTCGGGGCGGGCGGTCTGTGCTGCTCCGGAGCTACGGCGCACATCTCCGGACCGCATCGACTCGCAGCTCAGCTGGTAGAGCTGCCCGCGCCGTGCGGCCGGGACGGGAACCCGGGGCGACGAGTCCTGCTGCTGGGTTCCGTCGCTTTGTATGATGAGCCAAGCTGACGAACTTAAGTCTTGGTTTGAAAATGCACTTTAAAGTTCCTCAGTGCTATTCTTTTTTCTAGACGTGATAACATAATTACCAGTTACAGTATAGGAAGCAACAGTGAAATAAACAAAAAAGAATGTCTGAACGCAGTGATAGAAGTTACTGCTCTCTTTTTTTTATAGAATCTCCTCCCGGTTCCCTCGCTGTGCCCACCTGACTTCAGTCAGTGTATTCATTTCACCTGTGTGCCCATGTGTGCTGGAATCACACAGCCAATCCATGCATCACTGTAGGTTTGTGCTAGCAGTCCGTGGTGTGAGGTACAGTTTGCCCACAAATGTGGGACTTGGTGTGTGCTGCAGGTGTGTGCACAGCTTTCACGTAGGCAATGAGCGCCTCTGTGCAGGTAATTCAAGCTGCCTAGCTGCCTCTGTAGCTTCAGCAGCAGTTATTGCGTGTGCATAGGGAAGTCTCTGGAAATCATCAGTTTTAGAAACAGCTTGCAAGCTCTGTCCTAAGCTTTACATACAAGATAGATAGAGGCCAGAGCCTGACTCCTGGCACAGGAGCTGAGGGACACCGAGCAAAGCTGGCAGATGGCAGGTTCAGAATGAACAAGAGAAATTGCTTCGCAGAGCTATTGGGCTGTGGAACACCTTGGCAAGAGGGTGCTGTGCAGACGGAAGGATTTTAAAGTGATTAGATGAAGTCACAGGAGAGAAATCTCTCAAGGGCTATTGAGTGCAGTGAATCTCTGGCTCTGGAAATCCCAAAGCAGCAAATGGCTTGTGTCTGGGAGAGCATCCCAGGGCAAGACTCCTGCGTGCGTGCCTTGGTTTTGTGTGCCTTAGGTATCCAGTCTTGGCGACTGCAGGGTGTCTCACTGGGCCTGATGGGGCTGTCCTGGTGTTCTTGCTGTGCTCACACTCCCACTTAGACAGTCTGTAAACGATCCGGCTCTGTTGTGTCAGCATACCATTTTGATACAGGGAAAGGGCTTGTCTGTACAAAGAAAAAAATCTGGAGAAAGGGAAGACATGAATTTTAAGCATTTTGTTGTCTGGAGGTTTTTATTTTAAAATGATTTTTAAACTTTTTTTTTTTGTGTGTGTGTGTGGCTTTTGTTATGTAGGAACCCGTTGCAAGTCTTTTGCTTTAGTCAGTTTTCTGTATAAACAAATATCCCCGACAAAGGATGTTCCAATTAACTGTTGACATATTTAATTTGTCAAAGTGTTGTCCTTTTGTTTCCCCTGCACATCTGTTTTGTCCTAGAAAGCCGCATTCAGTCTGCATATCAGGGAGCTTGGTCAGTGTAGCTCTAACCACTCCAGCCTGGTAAGTGGGCCCTTACAGCCTGTCCACATCAGCCCCACCTGTATGGATGCAGGATTTTCATTGGCCTCAGCGATTGTTGGATTGGGCTGGAGATATTCACTCAAAGTCATTTCATTTCTTTGGTCTTATTTTATCCCCAGCCCATTTTAGTTTTTTTACTTCCTTCCTTTTACAAAGGTGCAGTTTAGGACTAGACATTCCAGTTTGCCAGAGACGTGTTGCTACTGAGGCCCATAGCTATAGGGGACACCCATCAGTCCACTCATTATGTTAATTACTACTCGCTTAAAGGTTACCTGGTAATAGACAGCCAGCTTGCCCATAAAGGTTGCGCGTAGCAGGAGAGCTCTGAAACCCAAGACCAACGATCTTTGCTGCTCTGAGGGGATTTCAGCGTTCTGATCCCAGCAGGGAATGAGTGCCAGGCGGGTGCTTGGCCATGGGCAGGGAGCTCAGCTCTCAGCACAGCACCGGGCTCCCACCTGAGTCACTGAGTGCTGCTCCCCCGTGCGTGCAGCGACAGTGATCCTCCATGGCCGTCAGCTGAGGGGCTGGGAGCTTGGAGCTGTGCTCTGGTCTATTAAACAGCTATTACTTGAGGGCTTTCCCCTCTTTCCTGATGTCCTTAAGCAAATACTCCGTTAGTAGAATGAAAACACTTACCGGCCCATTTATAAACCATGGCCATTTACATGTCCCAATAAACTAACTTATGGGTAGGGACTGGAAATTAGCTGCATATCTCTGCTGCTGTGAGAAGCAGATGCTCTGACCAGCATAATGCAGGTTTTGATTTATAAAGTTCTCTAATCAATCAATACGAGATTGACTGAGGCAATCAGATAATCTGAATAATTAAATGGCTTTTCAAAGACAAATTAAAATTTCTTATACGTACTCCATCCATCTACATTATATTTGGTGTCCAGGAATAAACAGGTTGGTTGGTTTGTTTCAGTCCTGTATCACAAGTGCTTTTTGCTTATTTCTGGATCATCAGAAAAAAGAAATGGTAGGTTTTTACTGTTTCTCTACTGGAAACAGCACTGGCAGAAGGAAAGTGCTTGCTTGCATGCAGAATATTTTTGTTTTGGTTTGTTTTTTTTTTAAGCTTAGATATATTATGACATTAGAAGAGTTTCTGCATTATTCTTATAAATGCTCCTCTTCATTTATTTGCTTTTTGACCCCCTTCATGCCTTCCAACATGATACCTGCTTCACCTCTGCACGAGGTAAGGCTGAGAATCCATGGACCTTCTCCAGCAGCTTCTTTTTTTGATGAACTGCTACAGAGCACGTCTGCCCTGCTGAGGGAGGGGAGAGTTGGAATGGTCAGAAGGAGCAAGTGTGTTTCTTTTATTTTCTGTATCAGAGCATGGTGAAAGAGGCCAGGGGTGCGAGGGCACGGGGAGCAGAGTTTCCTTGGGCTAAGTGGAAGTAAAAATAATCCACAGGTGTTCCTCAAGGTGTGTTCTCAGGGCCGGTTCAAATCCACCTCAGCCTGCAGTGCAAGAGGTGTGGCGGAGCCGCCACATCGTCCACCCCCGGCTTCCGGCCCCACGGCCGCTCCTTCTGCTCTTTGCCCTCACCAGGGCTCACGTGGCCTCGTGGGGATCCAGGAACTGCGTCTGGCTGAGAGCTGAACTTAAAAAACCATCTCTGAGGGTCCAAGGGAGAGGTGTGAATGCACAGGAGGTCTCTGAGCTTGATGTGAAGAACCCTGAAAGCAGATCTGTAAGATGAGGCAGAACGCTTGGTCCTCAGCTAGCATTTGTCCATGAAAAGAGTTCCTTGGAACTACAGGCACTTGTAAATGAATATCGTGTCCATCTCCTCCACCCTCAATTAGTCATCGCATAACCAAGCTACATGCGTTTAGTCCTTTTCATCTTTCTTCTTGTCAAGCCCTTTAGCCTGTCCCCCTCACCTACTCATCCCACCAATCATTTTAATTAATCTGTGAATTTCTTTGAAACTACTACTTTGTGGAATGGAGGAAAATGAGTAGGTTACAGAGACAAGATTGTGAATGATGGAGGTGGGGCAAAGTTAGGAGACTTTGCAAGACCTGTTGGGTTGCCTCTGGGGCAGGACAGCAACGCTGGATGTAAACAGAGAGAGAGTCTAGAAGTGAAGGAGGAACCACTAAAAACAGTTGTTGTTTTTTCATTTTATTATGAATAGTGTTGGAGCATTTCAAACCTTGGATGTTTTATGTGCAGCAAAAAAGGAGTGAAAGATGTAATATGATTGTCTCTAAAGTGGAGAGGATGACCTTCTATTTAGTTATTTAGTTTTTTCCATTCCTTGCTAGCTTTACAGAGGCTTTGAGTTACCACTGCAGTTACTCAGAAGTACATTTTCAAATAATTAATGAACTGTTTTTTGTTATTCAAACAGCTGTATTTATTTGCATAATTTTTGATGAAAAATCTGGCTAAATAGAAGCTAGCCACATTATTTAGAGATGAAGAGACCCCAGGGTATTGCTCCCCTTGGAATTTTAGGGCATTACAAATCAAAGTATCATGCTGTTAATGCCTCTTATGTTCATTATTTCTATACCACAGCATATCCAGCATTCTGAGAAACGGAGAATTGGGCAAAGTTCCTATAATTTGGATCTTACACTTAAACAATCCCCAACACACAACCAAGGCTGGCAGAAAGGCAGCTGATCCACAGTGGGAGCCCGGAGAATGAAGTGAGTTTGAAGGTAAGCTGTACAGGAGGCACTGGAGGACATGTGGCATATGGGAAGCAGAAGGCAGTGCTCGGTTGTGGGCTAGCAGTATGAAAAAAAAATTAACATACAAATAGAAGCATACTAATGCCGAGTGCTGGGGAGGTGGATGAGCACCTTTGAAAAGATATTTACTGTGTTTGAGGACAAAGATCCCAACAGAACTGTGCATTTTTTCAGATGCAACCAAGGCACGGTTTCACTGTGGAGAAATGAAATGAGCTTTCTGGCATTTTGGTATATTGACAAAGCTTTATTAAAGTAAGCAGGAACAACAAAATGCGCTGATTTATTTTGCCAGTTGTGACCAAATACCTCAGAATAACCAGATTTAACTGTTGGGAGCCATCGATAAAATAGTTTACTTTTGATTAGTGTCTCAGAATGGATACAAAATGCCTGGCTTTTTAATTAATAAGCAATCTGGCATCTCGTCAAAGTTGACACCTCACTCTGTCTTAGCAGCTGTTGGAACAGTAGGCTTCTGGCAACCTGGGATAAAGGAGTGCTTGCAACAGGAGAAGGAAAGGAAGCAAGTCAGCATGACACCAAAAATGCCTTGTATAGAGCACCACAGAGCATAGGAATTTCCAGTGAGAAATCAAGCTCCCCTTCACTAAGCTACGGGTTCAGGCTTGCATGGACAGCGAGTTTCTGTTGCTGACTATCACCAGTGGTTGGTGGCTGACAGATGTAAGGACTCCTGTGTGAATTTGAGTGATGTTTCTGGTTCTGACAATGGTAGCAATAAACAGAGAAAGCATTGAACAGTGAAAGTAGGTCCTGCAGGTTGCTCCTTCCCAGGGATTATAGTGGCAGAGCCTGTGGGGAAGTTTACGGAGTGCCTGCTCATGTCATTCAAATGGAAACATTCCCTCTGGATGACAGTCATTTGAGTTGGAGTCATGGTGTGGGAGCAGTTAGGGTTGCCAAACAGCTAAGGCAGGCACTGTAGGGAGGAAAGGGCACATAGGAGGAAAGGTAGGACAATAAGCAGAGTTAAAGATTTCAGCTGTGGGGAAGATGCTCCTAAACTGCTACTCTTCCTCAGTCCCATCCGATGAATAATAAGCAGTAGATCTCTGAGCACAGCTGACATATCACACAGTCCCCACTGTGCTGGTTGCTCCCCACTTGAATTGGAAATGTCCTGGTCTTGTCCACAGCAGCTTCTCAGGACTTCTGCAGGAGAAGGATCAGGCCACTTGAAACCCTGAAAATTGCACTTACTGCCTCTTCAGTAAAAAATCATGTGCAGTCACTGACACTGCAGTACCTGTACCTTCCCTCATTTCAGGGATTAGGCACTGATGGAAAATTCTGTCCAGGTGGTATTGATCCTTACCTGTGTTCATTTTATTTACAGTGGCTTCAGGAGCACAGCTCACATATGTGCTAGAGGAAATGCTGCATGAACAGCAGGCAGTACATTTGGCAGACACATTGGTCAGCTCGCAGGACTGTTTACACAGTCTGTTGAGAACATATGAAACATATAAAAAGCCATAATATTTGAATATATTAGAAACAAGCTCATGAGATCAAGGAAAATTTTGAGGATAAAAGGACAACAATAAAGCAAAAGCCTGAGGGCTGTGATGGCTGCTAATTGAAATTCAGCTGTTTTTTTGGCTGTTTTTTTTCCAGAGAACATGACTAGGAAGACATTCCAAAAAGGACTGCATGGTATTTAGAGGTCTGGGTACCAGCTGTAATGTGCACATACTTGCAGAGACTTCTGTTCTGCTAAGGCTGTGGACTCAGGTGAGTCACATGAGAGAGGTTAAGCCCACATATTGTAAGAACTAATGGTACAAAGTATTCTATATTCTATATTATTCCATATAAGCATGTTTGGTGCTGATTTTTTCCAGCCATTGCGTTCCTTACAGTCAGTATAGGAAAAGATGTGTGGCTGGCAAATCTGCAAGCCCAGGCAAAGATGTTCTGGGTGTGGATGCTTACAACCTATTGCCAAGTGCTTCAAATAGGCATTTATGTCAAAGATCTGAGGTCAATTCAATGATAGCCAATTTCAGCCTCGGATGATTTTATAAATATTAATAAGAACAGCAGTGTATTTCACATTTATGTTCTTGGCCTGCAAAGCATCTACATAACCCTGTAACATTAGTGGTTGGGAATATACATCCAACTCAGGGCAACCAAAAGAATTTACAAGGTGAAGCAAAAATATGTTCACCTCTTTAATGTCACCTCACAAGTATAATGAGAAGTAATTTTATTTTCTGTGTGGAGAAAAAACAGGAGAAATGAGTAAACTCAAGTGGGATGCAACCACAACCTTCCCTGCTTCTGCCTCCCTGCTGAATGACCTTAAGTTACTTTTGCATTTCTCTGGCTTGCTTTGCTTGCTTGTAAAACAGTCATAACTGAAGTTGTAGTAAAGCGTGAAGATCCCCTTTCTGTGTGGGGGAAAAAAATGCTATGCAAGTGGCATGATCTACTTTTCTTTCTAAAAATGCAGTAAGGAAATAGGTACAGATAAGGGATGGAATTTCATCTGGAAGAATACCTAGGATTAATTTATTGGTATAAAATATTTGTTACTGGCCCTGTTTGCTTTTAGGATATCAACTATTGACATTTTTATTAATTCATCAGCCTTGTAATGCATTTAGAATGTGTAGAGCATATATTGGCACTGAGATTTATGCCATTTTCACTCTTTGACATTTTGCCCAAATATCTTCCTGCAGCTGCTGTGGACTTTTTTTTTGTTGAGGGAAGCTGGAGGGGGAAAGCAGAGGAGGGGAAAGGTCTTAATGTATTTTTTTTCCCTCACTGTCAGAGGTTCTGACAATGATTTGGAGTTGTTACTGTCAAAATCTGTGTAGGGGAAGGTCATACTTTTCAGTTTCCCAGAAGGGGGAAGCTGGGGCACAGTGCTCAACACCTTCCCAAAATCACACAGACTGTTTCTTTGAATACACAGTTTTGATACTTAGTCCAAAACTTTGACAAGAAGATACCACATGAAACACAGGAACTCTTCTGCATTTCACACCCCTTGGGGAAGAGAGTGAGTGCAACAGCCACTCCCTGCTCGCATGAAAGGGCATTGCTGCAAAGGTGAGGCTTACAGTCCCCCTGGACACTCCGCCCAGCAAATCTGCCCCTAAGCTTTCTTGCATGCTTTTACATATATCTCTGTTTTAAATTGCACAGCAACAATTTTTAGGAAAACCAAGGAGCAGATGTAAATCAGCACAATTTACCATGTTGTTAGCTCCCAAGTGCTTTTGGCCAGCACTGCTGACAAAAGAGGCAGTCCTGCCCTCTTCCTGCTCCCACGCTGTCCCCTCCCTTGCTGTGACACAACCATGAGGTGAAGCATTTTGGGAAATACATCCAGTTCAAATCTTATCCCAGCAAAAAGCCTGAATGGCTGGGGAAGGAGGAATTTCCTTCTTTTCAGAGTGTTGCTGGATGTCCATACGCTGGATTAAAATCCTTGTGGAACCACTGTGTTAGTGCAATTCCCTGGTCTGTGAGAGCCAGGAGGCTTCACTAGTCTGTCCCAGCAGCTCTTGGCTGAAGGAGAATTGTGCTGCATCTGGAAACTCAATCAAGCTGCTTTCAAAACCTTTCATTCATACGTGGTCCACAGTTGGTTCTTAGTGCACCTTTGCTATAGGCAGTAGCGCTCCATGAGCCTGTCAACATTGTAGTCAAACAAAGGCTCGTCTCAAGACTTTGTGTTGTGTAAATAAACCTTGTGCCTAGCAGGGTGTCACTGAGTTAATGTAAAGCCTGAAGAGGGGAGGGCGTGGGAGCAGCATGCCAGTGTTAACTTTTCTGCTCAGGATTGCAACAGGATTGCAACAGCCCAGTCTATCTGAGCCGCCGCACGTACTGTAAACATGTCTGTGCACTTGAATTTGATATGGGTGGTGATAGAGCAATATACCTTTCTGGGAAGTGGTAATGGGCAGCAAGCTTTCATTTTAAGGAAATTCTGCATAAACAATAACAGTTTTCTTGCTAAAGCGCTGATTCTGTCCATGTGGTCCACAGAACAGACAAACAAAGGCAGTATATGTGGCAGCATTCACCAGCAGGTTAAAGTCTCAGGGTAAGAAGGAGAAATGCAGAAAATCCCATAAACATCAGTAGTTATGCTTTTGAATCTGTGGTAGCTTTGAGTACCTTTTTTGCTTCTCACAGATCAGTAACCAGGGGACAATTGACAGCAATAACCACACTGGTAAAAATACACAATTGTTTTTCGAACCAAACAGCGCTTCATATGCAAAGCTGTCTATGTAAGTGTGCCCAGGGTGCTTTTTGAGGCCTCATGGGAAGTTTTGCAAATAGTTAGCTACCTTTTATAAAGTTTTATCAAGCAGAAGCTTTTCTGATAGTTTCAAAATCCTCTGTTGCTTTTTCTAGGCTTACTTTTTCTTTTTTCCCCCCTCACAAAGGGTGAGACAAACTGTAAGAAAAGTTTCAGGAGAGCCTCCTGTCCTCCCATTCCCTTTTCTCATCCTTTCCCCTCCCCCAAACACCGGGAGCTCTCAAAAAATAGTTTAGTATCCTGGAGATTAAAAACAGTGTCTTTAATTTGTCTTTGTCTTGTAAAAGCTCTGATTGTCACTGCCTCGTCCTCTCCTTTGCTGGGAGTACATTTGAGTGCTCCTGCTATGTTATTTATGCAATTGCTGTCAGGTTCAATAAGCAGTTTCTTAGCAGGGCACCTTCCCACATAAAGATGTCTCCAGTTCTTGTCTTACCTCTCTCTTCCTCCATGTGCAGTGCCTCGATAGCAGAGAGCAACAGAGCTGAGTGTCAGCGGTGTCAGTAACTCCTAGCTGATAAATGGAAATTAACTCTAGAACCTCACAGATTCACTGGCAGCTGCATACAGGGCACGTTATACATGTTCCAGTTATGCAGGTTTTACATGGTGCCTATTTTAAGTTTAGGCATTTTGTTATTACTGGATCTGCTAAAGTTCAGAACTGTAGTACACCAATGTACCTCTTAGGTAATATTGAAAAGGTTGTGGTAATCTGCTTAAGGATTATTTGTGTAAATAGAAGTATCGACAAAGAGAATTGAAGTTACATGTTAATCACAATAATTGCTCCAAAGACAAACTGGCAAGCAGCTGACTAGAAGTCAGAAATGTAGCTACCTTTATACCATAGATCCTGAATCGTAGTGCTGGTGGAATCTTGTGTTTAGTCAGTGAGTGACAACCCCCCCTTTGAGTCGTAGCACCAAGGATTTCCCCTTCCTGAATGGGTAAAGGTGAGTAAAATTTCCCGGAGCATAAAAGCATGTTACAAAAGTGGCCAGATTTTCAGTTTTGAATTAGAAGAGATACTTTCATTTTCAGTATCTCCTTTAGTGCTGCTTTTTGCAAGACCAGGAGCGTGAACTCCTGTATCTGAGCCAAAATTCCAACCTAAGCAGAATGTACTCATCTAAAGTTCCCTTTTGGTTTCATTTGGACAAGATATTCTTTGGTGTAGAGTTGCTGTGTACTGTTACAGCAGTTGCTGTGTTGGGAGCTTGGGAATGTGCTCTCTTGGAAGAGGTTACGTAAAAACCTAGACCATAATAATCTCAGAGAAACCCCCGAGTGTGGTGATTAAAAAGGCAAAACGATTAGGGGAAACACATCAAAGAGTCTCTGTGAGAGTCCAAAAAGGAAAAATACTGATTATATTTGTTTTGATTTTGTCTTACATGAAGTAAAAGATGCGTGGTGTGTCCTGGGTCACCACCCTAAGGGGTGTGTACTTAAAGACAACAGAATCAGGCTCCAAGACTTGTATGTGGTTTATTTTGGTTGCAGGGCTGGGAAGATAAGATACCATTGTGCCATCTACATAGTGGTGCTATCAATCTGATAGATTACACTTTCCATACACCTCTGACCACCTCACCTGCCCTCTGCCCACTAATCTGTTTCTAACAGGATAACTCCTGGTCTTTCTGGCCTTTTAAGAAACTTTCGGCTGTGATTTATTTAAACAGCCACAGAAATGTTTTTCTTCTCCAAATGTGTAATTCTTTGTGATGAAAGCAACCAGAAGCGTGAGATGGGTAACACTGATTACTAAAGCTATTGTGCTAGCTCAGGCTCAGTAAATTGTGAATCTTAGGGGCTAAAATTGTTTAGAATTCCATCCAAGGTCTGGGAATAAGAGTGGATACTTATTGATTGATAGCCTTGTTGTTCACACTCCACTGGGTTCTAATACTGTTATTTTAGAACAGTGTTAGATTCATTTAAAAAGTTTATTAGACTTGGTCTGCCCTGGGAACCAGGTTAGAAAAGATTTGAGCTAATGAAATATGCAAAATGTGGTTTTAGGGCTCTCCTTTAATGTGGAAAGGAGAAGAAAGGTTTTAGTCGGCTACAGCAAATCCAGTAAGGGAACTGTTTACTTAAGACTCTCACAGTTATTTTTCATGTGCATTTTCAGAGCTTTTCAGCTGGATTTACTTCACGTAGGCAAGCATATTAATCACTATTTTCTTCTGATATTTGTTTTCCAGTTGGTATTCTGACTTAAGTAGTCACAGTCGTTTTCTTTCTGGGAGACTGATACAGCAGATCCCAAAAACCTATTGGAAAATAACTGAGCTCAGCACTGGAAATGGAGGAATATAAAATATAATCCCAATTTAGGTCGGAGTATTGCATCTGAGTTTATTTTCCCATGTGCAAAGTGATGTGGTGATAAGAATATTACAGATTCTTGATGTCAAGGCTTGCATATACTTGAGTGATGCAACCATCCTTAGAAAGTGGAAGTCAACAAAGCCTTTGTCCTATCCTACTGCAAATATCATCTCTCTTCCCAAGTGCTCATCTACTACAAAAAGAATCATACCAAATCTATATCTGAAGATGACACAGAAGGAGCCCCTGGGGATCTTAGAAGTTCCAGTGTTTCCCTGGCTGCCTCATGTTGATAGTCATTTTAGGATTTCAGACACTGGCAACAGTGCGTATTATTTTCTTACATAAACAAAAAGAGATTGAAAAAAAATATCCAGGTACAGGAACAATATTCTCTTTGTGCCAATTAGATGATATATTGACTTTGCTGGTTATGAATGTTTGGCTTTGGCCTCTTTAAATCGCTCCCAAGTTTGAGTCCAAGCTGCTGATGTTGTCTTGTACTTTTTTTTTTATGAGTTTTTGTGAGTGTAAATAAGGCTGCTTGGAGCAAAATGTTTTAGGTGAAAGATCCTTGCATTTTTCTAATATTCTTCTGTCATCTTGATTTGATGAGATGGTGTAAAATCTACCTGTTTGCATGACTAATTTGGGACTCTTGAGAGTAAAAGGTGAGAAACAGAATAGAGAAATGAGTAGAGACAGAAATACTTTTATTCAAACCTTGAAGGCTGTCAGACATTTTCTACATTTGGGATGTATTGCTCTTCACATTTCTGGAACAGGCTGCCCAGAGAGGTTGTGGATGCCCCATCCCTGGAGGTGTTCAAGATGGGGCCCTGGGCAGCCTGGTCTAGCATTAGGTGGGAAGGTTGGTGGCCCTGCATGTGGCAGGGGGGTTGGAGCTTCATGATCCTTGAGGTCCCTTCCAACCCTGGCAATTCTGTGATTCTGTGATAGATAGGTTGTTTTTCATCCAGATCAGGACTCTGGTCTGTTTTCCCTTCTTAAAAGAAAGACTGAGAAGAATCACTCTGCTTATGTTAGCATTTAGTTTTGATCTGGTAGTCATAAAACCTCAGATATGTTTGGAAAGCAAATAGAGGTGCAATGGCAAAAGCAGTGGTGGCAAATGCTGTTGGTTTTTGTTTTAATTTATTTTACTTAACAGCAAAACTAAAAATGTGATGCTGATTTATATGCAGTAGTATTGATTCCTATATTATTACATCTATGTAATCTAGAGTCTAGCATGGCTTATAAACACCCAAAATGGAAGGACCTTAATAGTTCTGAGCACTGAATATGTTTTTCCTGTGTACTCTGTCCTACCTTTTATTATTCAGCACATAATGCTGCATTAATGAAAGCAGCACTGTTGTATTTCTCATCATTATATTCAAGTAATAGCAACAATGCTGGAAGGAGACCATTGTCTATAGGAAACATTCTTAAGTTTTTTAAGGGCTTCCATCTAGAAAAACTTTTTGGTAGAGAAAGGCTGATGCTGTAAGTATTAATTCCACTAATGGTCTCATTTTGATTACACTCTTTGTAGGTTGCATAGTCACATTTTGAGTGAGCTGCAGAATATATACTGAATCCAAACATCACATGCTTATTTTAAACTTAAAATTTCTCTATCTGTGTTTAGGATGCTTAATCAAAGTGGTGGCTCAGAAGCAGACTGTTCAGTCTCCAGTGACTCAGACGAGAAGTGCAGTGGGTAAGCACTGTTAAAAACCAGGTGCATAAGTTTGAAAATGTTGATCCAAATCACATTATTATAAGTAGTAGGGAAATGTCATGACTTACTGAGATTAAACAAAGACCTGCTTAGAATCTTGTGACTTCAGCTCATAAATGGATTTCATCACTCATTACAGCTGCATAAACAAATGCATGTGGTATATATGCATGTTTTGTTTTTGGAAGTTGTTGCTTTTAAAATCCCCTCAGAGGTGTTTTTTGTTGTTTTGTTTTAATTGCTCCTAATGAGCCAGTGTTCCCCAGTTCTGGAGCGATGCCTCGTGTACCTGAGCAGTGTAGCACAGTCATTGCTTTTAAGGGAATAGTTTGCCTGCTTTTCTCCCTTTCTGGCAGCTGAACTGCTTTGGCAAGCAAGTCATTTTAAAGGAGGAATTTACAATATGAAACCTGCTGTCAAAACTTTTATTCCTTTTATGAAAGTAACCTTTACCTAGTGCTTGCTTAGAGCTGTGGAAATGTAGTCCCAGCCCCATCAGCAATTGCAGTATGTCCTACATGATGTCTCAGCTCTTACTGAATAAGTTTATCGTGTATCTAGGTATTTTATTGTTCGTTAACATAACTTTTCCTGTTGTCTGTGTACCTGTTTCTCCTGATGGGCCTCATGTAAAGAATCCTAGAAACCAATGCCTTGTGATTATCCATGTGTAATTAGTACTTCACCCATGTTTTCTTGCCAGTGTGTTGCAAGTGGGATGTGGCAAGATTAAGCAAAGTTTTGGTCTCCCTGCTGAGACTATTACCTGAAGGCACTAATGATGACAGTGGTTCGTGATGTACAACAGGTGCTTGTCATCTGTGGCTTTAAAATGTGGCATAGATAAAAACTATTAAATCATTCACATGTCTCTGGGTTAAAATGTACCACGTTTGGTTAAAAATCACACTGCTCAGCATGTCGAGGCAGGCAATTATCAAAGATTAACCTTGAGAAACTAAGAAGGCAAAATACGTGGATAATTCCTTGAATTCCAGTTTGCCATTTCATACTCTGAACTGAGATGCTGCATTATTCCTAGGTGGGCAGCTCCAATTTTACTTGTCTCCTCTTTTTACTTGTGAAAGCCAGGCAGGAAAATAAAAAGAACAACATGGGACAAGTTGTGTTTGGGGCTCTTATCCATATATCCTAAATAGATGGATTTGGCCTGAATTGGATTACTTTGTTTTACTCCCCAGAAGGATAAAACTCGTAATAAAAAGTGATGTAATTTGAAATGAATAAACCCTGAATCTTTTCACTTTTCTATCCAATAGCATTAATTTTTAGGCAACTAGGAAGGAGTCCTAATCATATGTGGTCCTAAAACTTGCTTAAACAACCTGCTGAATGTGTGAGCCTGTGAGTATCCCACCCCTTCTGTTGGAGTCTAAAGAAAATCCAGTTGCTCATCACCTCTGAAAATTTGCCCTCTCATTTAGGTAGTTAAAAAGACTCCTGACGCACTCCAAAATGTTGCCTTGAACGCCTTAAAATGTCACATTAAAATCACGTACAGTTCACCCACAAACCATCTGGCTTTGCAGATCTGAAAACGATTAATTAAGCTTCTCGCCTTCCTAATAAGGCCTATTGGAAGTGCCACACGGTCAGCAGTGGGTCTGCAGTGTGCAGGAAGGCCGTGGCTGAGGTTCCCTGTGGCTGGTGGCCGGCAGAGCCTTGCCACACCTTGCTGTGCTACCTAGCACAGCTCTGACAGCAGGCTGGACAAATACCTGTGTTTGTCCTTAAAAGGCTCTGCCAGCTGCTGCAGGAGCCCCAGCGCTTCCTGGCTCTGCTCAGCCACGCTCCTAAAAAGGCAGTTCCTTGCTCCCACTTCCCACAGCCCAACTCCCCAGGGAGGACAGCCCTCCCAGGGCCAGCGGTTCACTTACAAGGAAAGCCTTCCTTATGGCTTTTGCTGTTGCTTCTCGAGGAAGCCGTTGTGTTTACAAGCACTGCTGGGGTTATCCTCTCCTCAGCGAATAATGGAAAGTATAACAGAGTGCAGTGCCTGAGCCTGCAAGCCTCCCAGCACAGGCACGTTTCTGCAGCAGCATGCAGCCCGGAGGGTTCTGTGCAGGGAAGGAGATGCGCCGTGGGAAGCAGTTCAGAGCCGTAGTCTTGAAAGCGTATTAGGTTATGGTTTTAGAATAGAAAGTAGTCAGCAGCAATATGAGCTCAAAGCAGTTCACGTCCTTTTTCCTCCCTCCCCTGGCTGCCATTCCTGCGCTGCCTCTTTGCTTGCACTCGCGCAGCTCTTTGTGGGGCCATGCTGTGTTTTTGGTTTGATTTGTTCTGAAAGCCAGAAAAGCATTTTCTGTTCAGCTTGATGGTGTGGCTTCACAAAAAGTTGTGCAAGTATTAACTGAGTGAAGGACAGGAAAGAGGGGCAACAGAACTTGGTTACCAATGCCCCATACTCTTCCTAACATGAAACCATTCACCTTCTGGAGAAAAACTCTCCAACTGCTGAATGTTTTATTAGATATTTCTACAGATTTAATTGAATGGCTCTGAAGGATCTGATTATTGGTTTATTTATTTCACATGCCAAGTTACAGGCTTAGTTACAGTCTGGTAGATTTTTAAGGACAAGTTCTTTACTGAAGCCAGATTTTTGGAAAAGGCTTGAATATACCAATTCAGAAGGGACTTTACACAGCCGTTTCTCTTTTTATTAAATTAACAAATCATCCTGGCTTAATTTGAAATAATTACAAAGAGAATTTTTCAAATTTAAGATCTGTGAAATTCTGACATGTGCAGCGCGCTAAGTGCTCTCATACTCATTTCAGAAAGGGACTTAAAATAATTCATTTCCAAGGGTGTTGTTTGGGAAAGGCCAGCACCAGAGGTCCCTCTCACTGTGCTCTTCAGGGCGTGTGGGACGTTGGGGTGCAGCTCACAGAGGCTGAACACAATGTACTCAGGCACAGCAGTTTGTCCCTTCAGAGCCACATACTTCCTTCATTTATCAGGCTGCTCCTGGCAATTCTGTTCAACCTTTGGACTTTATGGCCTCTCTCAGGATGTAGCATTGGTTCCCTAATATCTCTTCTCTTGTCTTTTGCCAAGTTTCCAGCAGGCAATGAGGCCGTGACAAGCGGGGTCACAGGTGTTAAGGGAAGTCAGCAGCACAAACAATTATTGTTACAAAATCAGATTCCACACTTACAAGGATGAAATACTGCTTTTCTCATTCCTGTCTTTTCTTTTTCTGAGATTACAGGGTGTTTCCTACCTCGTTTTCCTTTTTCACCAGTGCTAGGTTAGCTCCCATGGATTGTGTAGTTGAGGTTAACAGTACTGATGGTGTGGATAAAAGTAATGGCAGTGACACACACTCTTTTAATGCACAATGTTAGCTGAGGTCTGTTGTGTACTTTCTAGCATTGCCTTTATACCTGCTGGTACTTGTAGTATGCCTGTCGTGTGAAATATGGATGTGTTTGAATGGTAGTTAATGAGATACATAGGAAGAAACAGATCAGACAATAAGGAAGAGGGTGATTAGAGAGAAACGTTGATCGAACAACAAGGAAGAGGGTGATTGACTGTTGGTCTGATGCAGTGGGAGGTGGCATGTCTGACTAACAGCTATGGAACTTGATAATTTGGCAGAAGAAAAACATGTACAGCTATAAGTTTGGGGCTGTCTGGTGACAGTTGTCCCTGTATACAGCATATGTGAGTTTATGTTGTTGGGAAGATGCACGCATGAGAAGGTAGAGAGAGGACTGCTGGAAACACAGCTGTTAATCTGAGTTCAGAAAGTGCCTGTATGTTCTTTTTAAAGTGAGCAGTAATTCTGGTGCAGAGCAACTTGTCTCCCGTACAGTGTTATTAAGGGAGGCTAAATTGTCCAGATCATAGCAGTTTCAGAACACTTTTAAATTTTAGGAAAGCTCTTTATGTACACAAAGCACTTTGATGCAGCAGAGCTGTATGATCAGTCTGAATTAACAGCCCCATCTCACGCTTAGTAGCACCATTCTCAACCCCTGATTGTGTTGCTTTTCTTAGTCTACAATGTAGCAGCTCTGCATGGGGCTCTCACTAGTCCTTGTTTATGTACAAACTTGCAGCAGAGCAACTCTGTCAGTTTTTGTGTTGTTAATATTTTTATAGACTGTTCCAGCTGTGTTCCTTTGTGTGAACACAGTTATAGTCAAATCAAGGACATATTCCCCTTCCAATGTGTGAATTAAGTAGAATTTTAGAAGTGTAAATCTACCCAACTTAGGAGATTTTATTGATTTACCCTACTGAAAGGACAGATAAAATGTCTGAATGTTTCAAAGGGGAAATTTAGAGAAGCAGGAGCTTCACACAGGTGCTCTGAAGTCCAAATGGCAGCCCATGTTTTAGCCCTGAATGCAGTCTCAGCACTTTGTTCATTTTCTAATAACCAATATCCAGTTGATGCAGTAAGACTTGTAGAAAAAAGTAACTAAAGGTACCTGAATTTTCCCTTTAACCACATGAGGAATGCAAGTGCAGTTCTGATAATGCAGAATAAAGTACACTGTAGAACAAGCTGATGTTGTTATAGCCATGCATATTAAATGTAATCGGTGATTATAAAAGGAACCTTTATCAGGAAACGTCACTAAAAGGTAAGCAAAGGTAAGCAGGGTTTACAAATAGATTACTACTTCCTGGGATGGGCTCTGTATGTAGTTTATAGAAAGCAAAGATAGTAGTGCTACTGTCTTTGGTTAGTAAGCAAATTCATTTTTGTAGGAAGTATATTTTCATAGAATCAGAGAATAGAATCATAGAATGGCTTGGGTTGGAAGGGACCTCAAGCATCATGAAGATCCAGCCCCTTGCCACATACAGGGCCACCAACCTCCTCATTTAATCCTAGACCAGGCTGCCCATGGCCCCATCCAACCTGGCCTGGAACACCTTCAGGGACCGGGCATCCACAGCCTCTCAGGACAGCCTGCTCCAGCACCTCATCACCCTCT